CTAACACTACTAACAGAACGTAGGCTCTTATGACGAATGTTCTATCAGCCAACAATATTTTTTAATATTCTTTAACAGCTGATATTGTTTGGGATGGTTCTGGATGGATCAAAGGAAACTATGGACAGAATGGCTTCTATCGAGTAAACTACGCTCCTGAACACTGGGTTGCGTTAACACAGCAACTGATATCAAACCATGAGGTATTAATCTCAATAATATCATGCATTGCGCGCTAAAACCGGAAATGTTTAAACCGGAAGGACTATTCTTAACCGGAAGTAAGGAATTTTTGGAGGGTCGACACAGCAACTAATATCAAACCGGAAGCAAAAATCAGCATAGAAAAAAAAATTTTTTTTTTTGCACATTTTAGCATAAAACTACTAGTTATAATGTTGAAAATAAAAATTATAGGATAAAAGCTGCTAATTCGATGTAAAAAAAGGTTTTCGCTCCGGACAATCCAGTTAACCGAAGTCCAGTCCARTCCAGCCATGCTCGGTTCCSGATTTTCCAAAATAAAAAATCGSCCACAATTCGGAATTTAGAAGCCYRAACAGAATTTTAGAGGTTGGGCATGCTTTTTCYATTCATTAAGATCATCCAHACCCATTCAAAAGCTGCAAATTCGACGARAATRTTTTTGGCGATTCAAGATCCCGTTAACGGACGTCCAGTCCATCCATTGTCGTACGGTTCCCAATTTTCAAAAATAGAATAATGTCTGTAAATTCAGAGTCAACTTTTAATGGTTGGGTTATGATTTTGKTATATAGWACCCTTTCAAAATCTAGAAATTCGACGATTTTTCGTTTCGTTTTTGTTTTGAATATTGGCGGTCCAAGGTACTAATCTACACGATTCAGGAAGCGAATTCGAAAGCTCGTGATATTATAATGATGGGGGTCATTGGCTTGTTTCATTCTTTTTTTCAGATGATTCCCATCTCTGATCGTGCTGGGTTGATTGGAGACGCATTCAGCTTGGCCAGGTAGGTGTTTGTCCTTTCTATCGAATTAGTGAACGACAGAAAGACAAAGTCCAGACAGAAAAACAGACACACATATCGACAGAAAGACAGACAGAAATAAAGGCAGACAGACAGAAAGAAAGCAGACAGACAGACAGACAGACAGACAGACAAACTTGTGATGTTTACAACGTATTTCATCTATTTTCCAGAGCAAAAATGATCAACTACTCCGTGGCATTAGAAACTACAAGCTATATTAGAAATGAGACCAAATGGGTCCCGTGGGATGCCGCTCTCACTAATCTAAACTACCTGATAAGAGTGTTATCCGAGACACGACCTGCTTACAAATATCTCCAGGTAAACCTCTTAGTCCACCCTCCCCCTCCTCTCCCCTCTTCACATCCCCACCCC